ATATATATATATATATATATATATATATATATATATATATATATATAATTACTTTTTAGGTTGCAGATGGAGTATAAAAATATACTTATAAAGGAATTCTAGAGAGAAGAAAGGATATCCCCAGGCTGCTTAGACGGTATTTTGTCTTCAGCCACTCTTCTAGGCCCTGCTTAGGTTGCCTCTCTTTTGTCTTGCTATCAGACTGCATTTGCTGAGATAAGGATTCTTCCCTGCAGCAAGAGCTTAGGTAGAGATGTTTTAAGCCTTTGGACACAGGAAAGCTGAAGGAATAATAATGCGTGCTGCAAGTACTGCAGCTGGGCACTGTAGCTCATTTCACACCCCAAAAGGCTTAAGCAATGAATGGAGCCAGGTGGGATTAAGCTGAAAAGGCTTTTGGAGAATGAAGGTCTTTCTTTGCAGATTGGAGGGTAAGAAGGGATTGATTTGGCAGGACAGAGTTCAGGACTTTATAGACAAGGGAATGGTGGATGGAAGAGAGTCCTCGACAAAGTATCCTACTCTGACAATCTCAACAGTGGGCAGTTATGTAACATTATATCTGAACGGGACGTATTTCAACTGCAAATTTCATTCATTTACCTAGAAAAACTTTTCAAGAGAATGAATTTTAGGTTTTCTTGCCTCAGTTCTTTAAAGTTTTGCATAGGAGCAAAGAAAGGTCAATGGAAAAGTTATCTTGGCGTAGTCAATCCCTCTATTGTGCAAGATACCAGGGTCACAACAAGAGAGAAATCAATGGGTCAGTCTTATCACTGCTCTCTGTTATCTTACAGAAGTAATAGTGTTTGGATGAAAACAAAGTGCTGGTGCTTCAATGTGGCTGAGCAGAAGCTTGTCAATGAGGCAGGGTCTCCACAAACACTGTACTTTGTACAGCATGGCTCTCCTTTAACTTTTCTTGAGTGTTCTTGGCTTGAATTTATTCATTTACTTATATATTTAGTGTGTGTGTGTGTGTGCACCCGGCAATCAGGTCTGTGCTGTTATAGTTCTTGAGTTACTACTCGTTGGCATTCCTTACCTATGTCCCTTCACCAGCCCTATAAGGCAATAAATTGATCAGAGATGAATGAATGTTGGGGAGCTGTCAAAGTTCTGCAGCCCGTTTACTCCTCAGTTATTTTTAGTTTATGCGCTCTTGATTTTAAAGCAGAAGAAAATGGGCATAATTTGTATGTCATGTAGCTACAAGCTGCTAGTAAAGTGCATCATTTACTAAAATTATTTGAATAGTCATTTTAATAGAGTAGAAATTATTTTTCTAACAACTTCTGTCGAGCTTCTTTTACTCTGCCACACCTAAGTAAGTGATATGGCTTGGTGGCTGGAGAGCTAAAAGAGGCTTGCCATCAAATCCAAGAACTTGAGTTCCTTCCATCCCAAGGAACTACATGGTAGAAAGAGAGAACTAACTTCTCTCTCTCTCTGGTTCTTTGTCTCTGTCTCTCTCTGCGTGTGTGTGTGTGTGTGTGTGTGTGTGTGTATTCACAGTTGTAATGAGTTAAAGCTTTTACTACACAGTTGAAAATTATCAAGACACTTATAGAAATTACATATGGGAACCAGAATACTGTCTATCAACATATTAAGCCAGTATAAAATGCCAATTTTAATTTCAGGTGTATAGTAGCTCATGCCAAATTGTGGGTAAATTAAATGTGTGTTTGTGTGGGATCTTTCATTTTACTTTTGAGATTATAATTACAACATTTATCCCTTCCCTTTCCTCCAGTTAATTATGGCAATGGTATTTGAATGACAAAATTCATCCTTACTTCAGTTTGTGCAAGCACCTTGAAATAGAAGAACACAGATACAAGTCTATTTCGTGTCTAGATTTGAGAATGAGAGGATAAAACTGACTAGTCTGGTCTGTAAGGTAGCAATATATTGTACAGGACTCTTAGGAGAGTTAACAACCCCTCCAAAAATTCTAATTAGGAAACAAATCACTAAGTCTATTTCCCACTAATATTTTCTAAATACCAGTAATTAATTTTAATAATTTGTCCAGGCCAATCCCATGTGCACGAATTGGGCTGTAACCATGGATTTCCTTCTTAAGAAACACAATTGAAAACTCACTGTTTACTTCAGCATAACTTTCACCTCACTGTAAAATCAAACAAAACAAAATACCCTTGATCAACGACATAAAAATGTTAAAGTACTTTTTTATGCATTTTATAAATGGAAAGGAATTAAAATGCTTAATATAACAGAGTAAAGGCTGATGAAATCTTCCTTATGTGATTTTCTCAAATCTGTGGGGAATTGCTGTTCGTACCCAATCTACATAAATAACCTTGAGAGACTACAGTGCAGGCTTAAAAATTTGTATCCTAAATTATTTCCCACTGTACCAAACACACCATTTAAACTTACTAAGTTTTTTTTTTTTCCATTTCTGTTTGCCAGTCTAGACAACCCTCATTAATGCTGTAATGTCTTTTCAGTTATTAATGCACTATGGAGTCTAATAAGCATGGATAGGAACAAAGATTAGCATCTTTGTACAAATTACCTGAATCATTTTAGAAGAAAGACAGTACCTGGCCTTTCTCAAAAATACTGTATCTAAGGCAATGTACTGTATCACTTATTTTCTATATTGTAGGACCCTATCTTTTGATTTCTGTGTCTTGCAGCAAGAAATGTGATCCATAGGAAATGAGGTCAGTGGACCAGATATCAAAGTCTGGCTGAAGATGTGTTAACATGTAAATAAATATGACTCAGTATTGCAGAATTTATTTTTATTCCTTGTGGGTATTTTTTTTTAATGAGACGAAGTCCCTATTCTTTTTAAAAGTTATTTATTTATTTATTATTACAGTTTATTCATTTTGTATCCCAGCTGTAGCCCTCCTTCCTTGTTCCCTCCCAATCACTTCCTCCCTCTTCTCCTCCTATGCCCCTCCCTCAGTCCACTGATAGGGGAGGGCTTCCTCCCTTTCTGTCTGACCTTACCCATGGAGATAACCTAGATTCCTTGCTCAGATATAGCCTATGGCAGTTCAGCTTCCAAGTGGGTTTCTAGTAAAGGGAGCAGGGGCTGTCTCTGACATGAACTCAGTGGCTGGCTTTTTGATCACCTCCCCCTGGGAGGATGTAGCTGTTCCAGGCTACAGGGCAAGATGATGCAGCCAGTCCTGATGAGACCTGATTTCCTTGTTTTTAATTTCTGGGTAGTATTCCATTGTGTAAATGTGTGACAATTTCTGTACCTATCCCTCTGCTGAGAGACATCTAGGTTGTATCCAGATTCTGGCTATTACGAATAAAGCTTCTGTGAACATAGTTGAGCAACTGTCCTTATTGTATGTTTGAGCATATATACATATAAGGATATGTGCTTAGGAAGAGTATAGCTGTGTCTTCAGGTAGCACTATTCCTAATTTTCTGAGAAAGCACCAGATTGATTTCCAAAGTGGTACAAGTTTACATGGCATCTGCAATGCAGGAGGGTTCCCTTTTCTCCACAACCTTTCTACCATGTGTTATCGCTTGCATTTTGGAGTTAAACACCAAAAAAGTAATTCAATTTAAAAAAAAAATGGGATAAAGAGCTAAATAGAGAATTCTCAATAGAGGAATATCGAGTGGCAGAAAAACACTTAAAGAAATGCACAAGCTCCTTAGTCATCAGAGAATTGTAAATCAAAACGACCCTGAGATTTCATCTTACACCCATCAGAATGGCTAAAATAAAAAACTCAAGGAGACAATCCTTTTAATGCACGTCCATATTTAATTTACAAGTATATTATTTAGCATTTCTGAAACTATGTTGGTTAGTATGCTATGTAGAACGTAATTCCTACCAAACTATATGGATATCCTCTGACCTTCACATATGCCCCCTGACATGCATACACTTATATACATATATCACACACACATACACACACACATACTACAACGCATACTAATAATACAAAATAAAAGAGCATGGTATACTCACTTACCCTAGTCCCAGAAGATGACAAACTTCATTTGAAATTTGTGTGGTCCAGTTCTCAGAACAGGCAATGTGCCAAATGCTATGGATGTTAAACTGTACTAACCCGTTGCTGCTCATTGTGCCATTGAGAAAACGCACTAAAAATGCAGAGAAAAGGGTTAAGATTACAAGAAGCCAGGGAATGGAGGCCACATGGGAATATTGGTCAAAAAGAAAAAAAATAATTATCTAAACAGGAGGAATAAAGGTTCCTGAGACCAAGTACACAGTATTGACATGTTGACTATTTATTTTTAAATTGCTAAAAAAAATAAATTTCAACCTGCCTCATCACAAAAATATATTAAACATTTAAGGTACTGTTTAGGTTGATTAGCTAAGTTTACTTTTTCAATATTGTATGCCAAAATTAAATGCGACTTCGCATCCCATAAATAGTCATAGCTATAATTTAAAACTTTCAACAGAATTTTTAAAAATAGCAATAAGCACATAGAGATTTATGAAAGATACTGGGTAATACACAGGGTCATATTGATTAAGTTCATGGTGGCCTTAATTAAAATGTGCTTATTCTTTTTTATTATTATCATTTATTACAATTTATTCACTTTGTATCCCACCCTCCCTCCCTCTTCTCCTCCCATGCCCCTCCCCTAGACCACTGATAGGGAGGTCCTCCTCCCTTTCTATCTGATTCTAGCCTATCAGGTCTCATGAGGACTGACTGCATTGTCTTCCTCTGTGGCTTGGCAAGGCTGAACCCTTGCCAGTCAGAGCTTAGTAATTGGTTGTAGATTTTTTCTGAAGAGTATCTTGGAAGATATAATTTGAAAAAATCAAATTTAGTTGATAGTTTTTTGTCTTTATCTATGATTATAAGTTGAAAAAAACAGAAACATAGAAGTTATTTTCCAGCAAATGAACGAAATAAACTTGCGTATATTGTTATTTAAGTTATTAAAATTTATTTATGACAAGCAATGCTTATATACTTACTCACTAAAAGTGGAAAAAACAAATTCAGGAGATAATGTAGTTATTCTGTTCACTCATGCTGCCTTTTCAGAAACTTTGTATTTTTATTTGCCATATTTGCTATTTTATTTTCTTCATATTCCCACTATCTTACAAACATTCTGTGAGGAATATTGCGGTTTTTATGCCAAAAAAGGGATTGGATCTAAGCTGGTTTTTAAGTAAAGAAATTTTCAGCGCTGGGATGTGACCTGAAAACACCATGTTGTTATTGGTTTTACTTTATTCTCTCATTAAACGATTTGGGTATTGAATTAAACAGACTGAGATTTTACCCTTAGCTTTTATGAAGCATCTGATCTGCGACAGACGTGCACCTTGCTCAGAACTCAGCTTCTTCAGGTCTAAATCTAGTCAGTTTTTAATGTGGGACTCTTACCACACTTCATATAGTGCAATGCATATAATATGTGCAATCCTTTTTTTTTGTTTTGTTTTGTTTTAGGAATCAAAGCAATGTACAATAAAATAAAATTACTCATCCAGTCATTGCAACCTGAAATGGAGGCTTGGCTTGAAATCATTCAAAGCAGAAGAAGTAGAAGATGCTTAAGAACTAAAAATATAAAATACCAGCTCCAGAGTAGTCAGTTATAATATGCATTCAGGTGCTCCTCCCTAAAGCAATAAAGGAAATAGAGCAGAGTGTGGCAGTTACTAAAGTGCCTGGTTTGGTATGTTTCTCACCGAGTCCTTCTTGTCCTAGACTTACAGCTACATTGCACGTGACCAAGTTTAACAAGCAACACACATGAACTAGAGGCTTATATGTTCGTTTTACTATAAACCAAAAATGGTCTCAAAGCTCAGCTTAGGAGGGAGACTCGCATTCCTCAACACTTGCAATAAAGCCATATGTATTCTTTCTTTCATGCTTGGAGAATCCAAAAAGAAAAACAAAGTTAAAACCACACAAGTATTTTCATGAAAATATGACGTACCACAATGTGCCTCATCTGAGCCATCACTGCAGTGTGGGTGGCTATCACAGAGATTTGCCTTGGGAATGCAGGTCCCTGCTGTGCACTGAAACTCGCCATCCTGGCAGGGCTCTGTTTATTTAGTAGAACAAAGAAATCACAAGTTGAAGGTTCCTGTATACCCATGCCACTTATGCCCCTTTAAACACCAGACTTTTGCTTCAGCCTATGGTGGAAGAACTTTCAAATTTGAAATTCCAAGATTTTTAAAAAACCACCTTGCCATCTCTTTTGTAAAAGTGCTTTTGGGAAAAGTTCCAAGAGGTAGCTGAGATTATCCTTAAAATAAGCTGACCTGAGGGATCTCAAACATGGCTGGGAGATATCTCCCTCAGAGAGAGATGCATTGAAGGAAGAGCTTTATGCTGGGATGATAAGACAAGCTCTGTTCAGGCCACACATAATATAGATCCTCTGGGAAGGCAGCTGTAGACACTTAGCACCCCATGCTCTTTAGTACACAGATAATCCCAAAGCAGAAGCAAAAACCTTTGATAACAGGAAGCAGGAATAGCTCTATTTTGAAAACAACTAGCAAACACAAACCAGGATCAGAATTGCACCATTATATTAAACTTTATTTCACTAAGTCACAACTTAAGTTAAAAAGATACCAGAAACTGAAGAGCTACAAAATGAAAAATTTTGTTTTTAAAAGTTAGGGGAGTGGCATGCATGCAGAAAGGGGAGGAAGGGTGGGATCGGGAGGGGAGGAGGGAGGGGCTTATGGGGGGATACAAAATGAATAAAGTGTAATTAATAAAAAATTAAAGAAAATTACAAATACAAAAAAAATTAGCTTTTTATTTGTTAGATATATGTGTGTGTATGTGTATGCGCAGGTATGTGTTTACACACATATGCACATACATACAATTATATAGTGTCACTAATCAGAAATACATACATAGGTAGGTATTGACCTTTTGACATAGCTAATTAAAAACATAGATAATAACTTATTCCTGTAGTTCCACTATAAACAATTGTTCTGTGTTTGATGGTCTGCTGGTATTTGAGTGGGGTGGAATTAAACTTTTATTGATTTAAAAAAATTATTTATTTATTACTTATACAGCACACAAGAAGAGGGCACCAGATCTCAGTATAGATGATTGTGAGCCACCATGTGGTTGCTAGGATTGCACTCAGGACCTTTAGAAGAAGAGCCAGTGTTCTTAACCTCTGAGCCATCTCCCTAGCCCCTATTATTTTTTTTTAAATACATGTATGAAATTGTCAAATTTTATACATCTACAAAGCACCAATATTTCTATTTTTTTATTCATATTTTTCCTCTGTCCAAATCTTTTTTTTTCCTCATAGACATGTTTTTTTGGACATAAAACAATCAGAATGTTGATGGTACTCCCATGCTATTTTTGCCACTACTGTACCAGCTTTTATGTCTTGCCAGACCAGTCAGTAATGTAGTTCCCAGGGTTTATTTATAATGAGCAAAAATAGTCGTCTCTGAGAGGAATCATTTCTACTAGAAATCTAGGCTTTAAACCTAAATCCAAGAAGTGTTAAATATTGACACAGTTTTAAAGGAGAGTTTTATAAATTAGTTCTTTGAGGGTTTCATAAAACATGCTTGATTATATTCACTGAGCTTCTAACTTTGATATACCCCCTTTCCTTTCCTACCCAACTTTGTGTCATTTTAATCACTCCAGACAGATTTCTGCACATAAGTTAATCTTTCTGAGTTTCAGTTTTCTTGTATGTTAAGTGGAAATTAGTTCAACTTATCATGAGAAGAAAGAAAGAAAGAAGAAAAGAAAGAAAGAAAGAAGAAAAGAAAGAAAGAAAGAAAGAAAGAAAGAAAGAAAGAAAGAAAGAAAGAAAGAATACACTTAGAATACCAATGTGTACACACTAACTGTTCGATACGTGGTATTAACAGCAAAAATAGGAACATTATTAAATTTCTTGTTTAAAAAATTGGTGACGGAATCTGTCAAAAGAGGCTGCAGCTAACTTAAGATCTGCCCTTCATACCTTAAAGGGAATATTATTTGTTAGCAGGCAGAAGTATTGCAGAGTCATAACTGGTCAACGTGCTAAGACTATGACTGCAAGTGCTCAGCCTTAAATAGCCCTGAGATCTCAGGAACATTACAAAGGAGGAAGCATAAAAATGTCAAGAGATGTGGGACACTATGAAGTCCATTGAAATGCAATCTTCTTGAATGTTGGAGCTTTAGCATTCACAAGTTTATAGCCCCTGTGAACAATTGCACAAGATCTGCTCAAGAACCAGCAAGCCAACAGTCTAAGATGGATGGCGGAGTCTCTCATGACCCATTATCTTTACCTGGAGGTTGATAGCTACTAAAGGAATGTGGTCCCTAGAACGTTACCCATGATTCCTTAAATGGGCCCACACTCATGTATATATGGGTAGTATTAATCGGACTGAGAAAAGTAAAACCCAATGGATATAACTGTAGTTGCTGCAAAGACAGAGAAACTGAGCTTGATCGCAGGGATCCACTTTGTGGAAAAAGAGAATTAGCTTCCATAAATGATTCTCGGAGTTTGGCATTAGTGCCATGATACAGATTTCCATACACATACTCATCAAGCAGATGTAAAGAAATATAAATAAAAATGTAGAGAACATACTGTTGGGTATGGGAGCACAGCTAGGGAAATTGGATAGATATGATAAAAACACAATATAGACACATATGTGAGTCTCAAAAATTAAATTGTTTAAAAATAGAAACTTTAGAAGTATCTAATATCTCTCTTTCTCTTTTTTTCCTCTCTGGGTATGTTTTACCATTGAGCTCTGAAGCATCTCTCTATTAAGTTAATATTCTTGTTCCACTCTACTTCCACCACTTTTCTCTTCAAATAACAAGATAAACAGGAAAATATGTCTATTCACTTTTTCTTGGTTACAGAAAATAGTAATTGGAGCTATTTGTCTATTTTAAGCTTTGAAACATTCTATGTTTTAACCAAAATCTAATTTACCTTAATACAGATATTTTTAGAAAGTTATGGCTGGCTGTTTCTGCAAATTTTTATATCAGGAGAAAAATAGGTTATATATCTCAAAACTTAATATCATTAGGGAGGTTCTAGTGAATGTAATTATCAATTTGTTTCACAAACACATATTTTTAAACAGATTACTGAGATGACAAATGGCCTCACATGATTAAATTTTTTGTACAAAGAAGCATAAGTATCTTATTGGAAAGATTTCTCTTTCTTCTGGATGTTATCATTCCTTAACTTTCCTTTAGAATACACAGAATCTTCAAAATAGGTGCACACACACAAATATACATCCTATAACAGTATGTATTTTCGCATATATTAATTTTTATAAGGTAAAATTTCAGACTGATAGTCAAATATTTTGATACACTCTAATGTCAGTCATTATTAGTTACTGTTAAATTATTAATTATATTTTCCACATTTATTAAATCATTATGTTAAATGAGTTTACAATGACAATATTTATTTATGGATACATTTTATTGACAATTTTGCTTTTAATGCTGTAGTCAAGCTATATTCAATTGGAAAGATAAATTTTAGTTAAAATTAATATAAATAGCTTAAATTTTATTCAGTGAAAGCACATGCTCTGTACTTGCCTGAAAATTATAATATTTTGTTTTTCTGTAGTCAAAGCTGTTAGGATTATACCTGTAAGTCCTGAAAAGGTTCCTAGTTTAGAAGGTGGAATAGACTGGATTAGAAATTACTGAATGGAGAAGAATGGTATATTGTTGCTAAGCGACTAGGAATTATAAAATTTGAGAAGAGGTATAAATAAGCTACTTAAAACTTTCCATATATCTACAAACTTGATTTTGAGTTTTTGGAACATATATTTCAGGTCATTAGGAAGCCTTCGATACAACAATTTACTCTCACTGGAGTCTGAAATCTTATTTCTGATAGTTTTATGCCCATGGTGAAAGTGGAAAAAAGTAATATTACTCAGAATTGAATTTCCCCATCTTCTCTTTATGAAGTCTCTATAGCCCTGCTTTATTTAGTCACCATATGCTTGGTTTCTTAAAAAGAAGTAAATTGGTTTCTAAGGAACACACCTCCCCATCTGGGGAGGGCTTTAGGACTGTGAGTACAACCAGCTGCCACCTGTGAGTTGCCAGCAATGATCTACTGAATTGCACATGAAGACTCGGAGACTCATAAACAAGCAGTGGGCCCACATTCCTGAGAGACTTACCATAATAAATATCTACCATGAATCCTTAAGGTCAACATGAGTGGAGATAATTAAGAGAGGATAAATAATATTAAATATGCCTCATAATTATATTTCAATGAAATACTGTTAAGTATTCATAAAACATATCAGAAGACAAGGAAGATTCATAAATAATGGAAATAATTTATCACATAATTTTTTCACTTTTTTTTCTTTTCTGAAATGATTGCCAATCCAGAACATCAATCTAAGGAGGTATGTACACCCAATCTGTTTTCCAGGCTTCTGCTAAAAAAAAAAAAAAAAAAAAAAGGAAGAAAGAAAAGACAAGAAAAGCTAGATGAAAAAAGACTGTGCTGAGCAAGCTGGGACACTCAGCTCTACACCACAAAGGCCCATTTTCTAATTCTAGGAGAAATAGCAGTCCATAAGTGTGTTGATTTGTCATGCACTGATGTTCTGCAAAAGAGTCCTCCATCTTCACTGAAAAACATTGTTCTCAAAAAACACAATGCTTAAGAGCAAAATCTGGTTCCAGGGCAAAACAAGTGGAAAGAACCCCTTCACATATAACTGGATCTTTTTATTGTACTGATTGCATTAAATCAAATGGACCTAATAGACGTCTACACCCTAACACAAAAAAGTAAATGTTGGGGGTTGGCCTGGTGCTATGTATTCTAATGTTAATTACTTCCCCCCACGATCTTGTCCCTGCTCAGAAGAGCACATTCTCACTTAAACCTGTCCTTGTTGTGTAAATCTGTCCTTATTGTATAAACCTGCCTGCCTCATTATATCTCATTGATTGATTAACAGCCTATACCTGGGCAGGGCAGAATGGGATAGGCATGGCTAAGGTTTC